CAGTCAGTATCACTGTTAGAATAATTTCAATTAAAAACAATCACCCCAGCAGTATTGTCGGAGCTTAATCCCCTCTCACCCTTTCAGGTGGAGCCGAAAAAACAATCAATCACCACTCAATAAGTACGCTATCCATATTCAATAAATTACATCAATAAATACTTCATACGAAAACTGCAACGTCCTGTGCAAATCTTGATAATAAAATGCAAAATATCGCTGCCCATGTGCCAAGTCTCATTATTAATATGCCTAGTTAAGTTATTTCTAATTCCAATAACTACAAAAAGCCGTCAGTCACTAGTAACAAAGTGCCCTTCATTACAATCATTCATGTGAGATCATTATTTAAAATGCAGGCTTTAATTTCTCACAACATGTTAGGGCTGGTATAGTACTGAAGCAGTTGATTTATCAACAACAATTATGATAATAGCTTAATCACTGAAATAATTTGTCACAGCCGTGGTAGCAAGTCTGTGAGGCTGTACACAGCGGTACGTTGAATGCTCATCATGCTAAAATGTTCACCATGATGATGCCAACAGCTGATGTTAAGTAGGTTTAATGTGTACCATTTTCACCATATTAGTTTACTGTGTTAGCATGCTAACATTTGCTAATTAGCATCAAGCACAAAGCACCGCTGCGGCTGATGGGAATGTTAATATTTTTGCTTGTTTTTGGTCATAAAATAAAGTATTGGACAAAATTAACGTGGATGCTTGAGCCACATTTCATGGCAATACAACCAATAGCTGTCACGACATTTCACTCTAAACCACAAACTATCTTATGGCGGCGCCAGAAGAAAAGTCAGGGAATCACTAAATTTATTAGGATACATCATCCTGGAACCACTAATGTTTGTGCAAAAGATTTGTGGCAGTCCATCAACAGTTGTTCAAACATTTCAGTCTGGACCAAAGTTGACCAGCTGACCAACCAACAGAGCTGTGCTCCTAGCGACGGTAAAAATGTGTTTCCTGGCTCCAGCTGCTATATAAAGCTGCTACATAAAATATAAAAATACAGCTTTTCTCGTTTCATATAACTGTAAATTGACAAAACAAGCAATCTAAAACTTTCACCTTAAGCTTAAGCATTTTTCACTACCCTCTGCGATTCATTGAATCCATTGTCTCCTTATGCTTCAATCTTTCAAACGCCATGTTGCTTGTTGATGCTATGTGTTAGTGTCCATCTTCACAACTTGCTAGACTTTGCTGTGTTTTATTTTTCCTATATTAATGTATGCAACGATGGGAAACTAATTTAAAATCATATGAAATGATCACACTAATGGTAATATACTATGTGCTCCAATGTTAGTCATTCAGACATAAATATTCACTGGGCAAAACAAGACTAATTTTTTTAGTTTTCCACACAGTGAATTATCACCCTGCCCCAAAGTTTTAATTCACACTTGCAATCCTCTCTCCTCCTACAAAACAAACACTCACACACACACACACATTAGGGCCATTTTACTGCCACTATTCAATCTCAATCGCATAAATAACCATGTGAGAAAATGTGAGTTTTAAGATCACAATGGATCTCGTATTCATTGAAGGAGCACTAGGGCCACGGGGGCTGTAAGCTATATAAGATAAATAATTCCAGATGAATAATTCAAATAATTTTAATGAATAAATGGAAGGTAATTATCCTGCTCTTAGTAGCAACCCGTGATTCAACAGAAGCACGAGGCAACGGAGATGAGAGGGGTTTCCCAGAGTCAACGAGCGACAATCACCTGCTTTGTGGAGAGGGGGCGAGGGAGAGGGAACAAAACACCAGCAAACACTAATGATGAAGAGAACCTCTTACGCATGGCATTATCTACTTTTAGAGTGTGTCTCTGTGTGTGTCTGTGAATAGGTTTCGGTTAGTGACCAGTGGCTAAGCTGCAGATGTACTGGTGAACATAAAAGGTTTGGGGAAGAGATGCTCTTTCAGTGTGATTGAAAAGCCTTTGTGGGGTGTCCCTGAACAGCGCCTCCCAAACTGCACGGGAGAAATGACGAGGATGAAAGGCAGGGCAGGATGGAGAGTGCGCCTTCATCTCTTTTGTTGTCCTTCTGCTGTCTTAGTCGTTCCGCCATTCTCTTGACAAGCTTATCCCCCACCCACCCCGCTGCTGTCACAGGTGTGAACCCCAAATGGAAAACCCTCCTCACTGAGCCCCCCTCAAGATGAGTGCCTTGATACTTGAGTTTTCTGATTGAATTGAAAACGACACTACAAAAGAGCACCTTCAAATCATAGATATACACCACTTGCAGTTTCTTTATATTTTGTCACTTTACAACACACACTACTGGAACAATTTAAATATTTCTTCACTCTGAACATTTGTTCCCAGCACAGACTGAACAAAAGAGCCTTTATCTTGCAGGGACTAATGACATGAATGACATGTGCTTCATCAGTTAGACTAAGTTAAATAACATCTTCTTATCATCTACAGTATAAGTGACACAGATGTTTGATGTATTTTCTGATTTTTAGGTGTTCCAATAATACTTCTTCTGCACCACTGTCACTATCCAGATTTCACACAACAGAAGCCAACTCGATAACCCAGGAACAGAGAAACTGCACAAATATTTTGAAACCTAAAAATAAATTCTTCCTGGACTGCAGCCTATGTTTGGGTGAGGAAGGATTTCTCACTTTGCTGGAGACCATCAGGACACACACTCATCATCACACTGTTCTTTTTTTCCCCTTTTACTTTATTTAGTAGGATGACAAATATTTTTAACAATAAAGCTATAAAACAGGTCTAGGCCAACAGGATATGCTGGTATGGATGTGCTAAAATAAGTCTACAGGACTACTGAATCTGCAAAAGCAAATATGAGGAGATTTTGATAACAGAAAGTCACTTTTAGGGTTGGATGTCATGATTAGCCAATATGATGATGTATACCATGAGACAATATACGTTTGTCAATTTGTATACAAAATTAACCCCACCAACATGTACATAAACCTAAATATACATACCGTTTGTGTCTATGAATATACAACACATATGCTTACAATATCCACCAAGACGTCTACAGAAATGAAGAAAAAAAGCAAAAACTACTAGGGATGCACCCACCCAAACAGCTCCATCTCCATAGAGATACCGGTGCTGTCTTTTTCCTAAATTTAAATCTTTTCTGCGTGGAACTTGACATGGTATCATGACGCCACAGATCGTTGTGTCATTAAGTGATGGTGAATAAATTAATGTCACTGAAGCAGAAACACCACATTTTATTATATATTTAATGTCGATCTGTTGCTTGGAAGGTCGATACCCAATGTGCTTAACGCCGCCAACATCGGTGCTGAGCTGCATCTCTACATAATAACCATCTGAAAGCGATCAACAAATCTTGCCAAAATAAACATCTCAGACCACCCTCTCACCCAGCAATGGGTGTGATAGTTCATTTAAGGCTTTGTTCGGGAAAATATGTTTGTGTTTGAAGGTGCAGTATCAAAATTCTTCATGTCTAAAGTAGGAACCTAACAATGTTTTTGGCCACATTCAATGCCAACAAAATGTAATACTATATATGGAGGAAAAGAGCCTTATCGCACATATATAACAAATTTTTAACTATCTGATTCCATGACTTTCGGAAACTCCCTGTCAAACATACCCCTTTTACATTTTCATCAGTTTAATGGTGTGGAAAGACCAAACAAAACTTGGCAATAAGTGATCACATCAAAATATCAAAAAGTTGCAGTCAGTCAACAAAATTCAACCAACACATCAAATTTGTTAAATACATTCAAAAACCTAAGTGTAAATCTTCTGCCGTTACTATGTGTGTAGGCGCACATAACTTCCAATAAAGGCTGAAGAGAAGTAGTTTCCATCTGTAGATTTTACAGGAAGCAAACACTGAAAACAGTATTTCACAACAAAATGATGGTGACAACAAATTCAGAAACAAATGAGATTCCATAAACAAGAGTTAGAGCAAAGAGGTACAAATGAATTACTACAGTAACAAGGAAACTGAATACAAATAAGTATAGACCAGCTGTCAATCTAGTTACATGCTGCCTCATGGCAGGACGAAACAAAGTCATCAGCGAAAGATCAACATTGAGTTCTGAGGAAACTTACCACAATTATCAGAAATTAAGTAATCTATCTCCTGCAAAGTCCAAGTAAAGTAAAGAGTGAAATTAAAAAGATTAAAATGCATAACAGTTATTCAAACAGTACTCATAATCTACATCTTTGAATCATATGACATATAAAAGACTGCAGCTGTGGTGAGGTATACTTCACCTGCAGTGTTTCATGTTATATCCTGGACCTGTACTTTCATCGTAGTTTGGCAAATTAGGCATTTAGAGTAGTTTTAACTCTATAAAGTCCCATAAGTTTTGAACAGGAAAGGCTCTACAGTATATTCCACAAACAAATATGCAATTTCGCTCAGTGTAAACCTGAACTCAAATCAAGACCTGTGACCTCCACGGACACACTGCCACACACAGACTGCTTTCACATGGGAGTCAATTTGACAGTTGAGATCAACAAGTCTCACCTCAACTGCTTTTCTCCCGGAAAACATCTTCCGTGGTCATGTAACACTGTTAAACCACGTTATCTGCACCTCCTTATACTAATGTAAAGCATGTGCTAACGTTAACGTGATGCTCAACCAGATAAACTCTTCAGCAAGCTATCGTTAGCATGCTAGCTTATAGCTGTCTCTTAGCTGTCTGAGGTTCATGTCCAAACACAGAGTAAACTGTTTAACCACCGCATGGGAAAACAAAGCGAATGAGGTGGGTTTTTGTCATTGTGGTTAAAGTAACGTCAACGCCGAACGTTACTGTCACCGTCTATGTTTAAGGTCAGTTTAGCCTACATGTTGTGCTAGCATGCTAGCTGCAAAATGAATGGGGGTTGGGCTAGCCTACAGCATCCAGCATCCTCTATCACCGGTTATCAGGCAGAAATAACTCACCTGGTTATAGTGCACTCTGAACGGCTTCAGATAATCCGACTCTGTGCACGGAACGACTTCAACGTTATTTATCTCTTCCATAATTTACACTTTGAGCTGGATTGGTAGCTCACCGATGGTCGTCTGTCACCGCACTAACTGACAGCGAAGGAATGTCTACGGACGCCGGGAGAGGACATGAAACTGAACAGCTAGGACGGCAGATAGGAACAATATTAGGGATGGGTAATAGATCGATATCTAGATTTTTAGAATAGTAGAGATTGATAAAATAAGTATAATCTTTATAAATAACAATAATAATAATAATAATAGTAATTTGCTTTATTTGTATAGCACCTATCAAACATGCAACTCAAAGCGCTTCACATCAAAGTGTATGTGTATTAAAAAATCTAATCTATCTTGATATTTGCCTGGGGGGGGGGGGGTCGCCTTTGATGGACAGAAGAGTGGCCAGGAAACAAGGGAAAGAGATAGGGGTGCACAACACAGAAAGGGGCAACAGGTCAGATTCGAACCCGGGCTGCTGCAGTAAGGATCAGAGGACTTGGCCTTGTACATGGGGTGTACGCTCTACCAGGTGAGCTAAATTGCACCCCATATATGATGTGTCTTAAGATGTTAAAAGGAAACTAAAGCCATCAGTGAGAGTTTCTGGGTCATTCCTAGTCTCTGCATGCCATAAAGACCTTTTGACAGATGCATAGGATCAAAACCTTGACTAAATTGACCAAACAACCCCAAACACTGTCAATTACTTATTGAGAAAAATGTATGTGGATTGCAAAAAAAGCCTGCATTTTATTCATGAGACTGAGCACATTAAAAGAAAAAAAGTTATTTATACCAAATCACTAGTGTTTTAATATCAAAGTAATGTATTTATGTACATGCCACAACTACTGCAGCATCATATACATGTTGTATATGTCCATCCGTCCAATATATATACCTGCTTAAACACATTGGGGGAAAGGTTGACTACACCATGGACATATTTCCAGTCTATTAGAGGGTTGGCACATGAAGACAGAGAACCATTCACACCCACGTTCACACCTGCAGGTGACTGAGAGAAGACAGACATAGGGAGAGCAGGTGGATTTTACACTTAGAAGTTTCTTGCTCCTAGTGCGAACCACTGCACCACCAAACACCACAGGTTTACTCAGTTTGGTTTCTTCATACAAATTTGATTAATTGGGACTGCAGCTGTAGCTTTGTTCCACTGAGACTACAGCAAACTACTTGAATGCTCATTCAGTGCTGTATCCTAGGTGTTGTTTAAAAAAGGGAAAGTGCAATCACAGAAATTGTCAAAATGCATACCAAACATCAGACACAGATGACGGCCAAGAAATAAAGAAAGACAATTGACTGATGCTGATTGGCTTAGTAAAAACACTAGCCCCAGGTCAACTAAAGGTGATGTAACTGTTATTAATCAGTACATTATTCATCAAGGAAAAGAAAAATCTGCATTGTGAGTGTTTTCTCAAATGATCATAACTAAAATAAAGGCCTGCTCACTACTTACTATCCTGCTTTACAAATGTTACTAATAGAAATAAAGCTTGGAAATGTCCACCTCCTATCTTTTTGGGCAGGTCTTCCTAGTCTTAATCAGCAGTTTAAAGAAATGCATGAGTAAATGCACCAGAAAAATCTAGTTTTTGTCAAACTGCTACTTCCAAGGTGAAGAAGGTCAAGAATGAAATTTCTCACTCAAAACATTGAAGGAATATGCTACTTTGACATTTTGGGACTTACTGACTTTCCTGCCAAGATGCAAATAAGAGAATAGGGGGGTTGTGTGCCAGACTATTTCCTGGGCAGGACAAGTTGCTTTACTAACTCCAGGAAGTTAGTGTTAGGGTCAAAAAATAGTTGAGTAAAACCCCTTGCAAAACCACAACATGTCATTTATACACTTCGGTCAGAGGCCAGCCGGTTAGCTGTTTTCCCCATGCTTCCAGTCTTTATGCTAAGCTAAGCTAATCGGTTGCTGTCTGCAGCTTCACTACATTTATTTCCCCAAATGTTGCTCTAACCCTCCCTTCCAGTTCCAGTCCTGTGTTTTGAGTAAGTTGAGGTAACTTTTTGGAGTATAGCTACCTCTAAACGCCTAAACAGCATATTAGTTCGAAACATGATAAGAAGTCCGGCATCCTCACCGTGCTGAGTAATGAATAAGAAATGGGTGTGGAAGCTCTTTCTCACCAGCCCTGGCTTCAAGGGTGAGGCTGCATGATGTCACTCCCACACATCAATAACAGCCTTATAATGGAAAACAATCTACAGAGCTCCAATCTTGATGGGGCTGACTTCCTCCAACAAATGAGCCCCAGTCCACCGCCCACTACACAAGGACAGGACGTAACACTCTTGCGAGCTGATTTACATCTAAATAAATACAGGCCAAGACGAAACAATGTGCAGACCCAAAAGGGGAACCGGCGTCTCTCCTCTGGGCACGTCCAATTTATATTGCCCGATCCAGCCAAGCTGCAGGGCACGATAAGATGAGAGGGGATTGCCGAGTTGAAGCATTGTACAGGAGTCAACCTGCTCTGGTTTGCTGCCACACTCAGAAAAATTAAGACAAATAAACTGTGGCAGAATAATGACAATGAGTATGTGCCAATATTTTTATTTGTAGTTGTTAAAATGGTTTTGAAAATGACCAGGAGTCTGTTTTAAAACAAAATGTATTCTTGCTGAGGCGGAACAGCCCTGATGACCAACTGTAAATACAGTTTTTAGCTTTGAGTTAGTACTGATCAAAACTGGCAACAGGTACTCATTACATTGCTTTCATTGGCTGTTTGTTGGCTATCTGTGGTCTATTAGATCCAGGCGTTTTGCAACTTTTATATGATGTATCCAAACTTCTTCCCTTTCAAGCTGTCAAAAGAATAACTGGAAAAACTTTTAATAAATGTATAAACAGTAGATAAACTTTAAAAAAAATGGTTTATAACACACTAAAAGGTAGGTGTATGCACATAATTAACACCATGCTTACAATATTGTCATCAATGATCTGTTTATACACCAGCCTCCACCTATATTCGCACACAGGAATTGCTTACACTCATATCTGCTTTCAAAACATTGTATTAGCTTTAACCATTTATTAAATGTTTACATACTGCTTATAAAAGGTAAATAGGGGTGGTACAGTGTTACCCCAAAATATCTCAATTTAAAAACTTGCTGTATATAGACATATTTCAGAAGGATATAAATAGAAATAAGAAGTGCTCCTTTCTGAAGGTTACTTCCTTGTGGAAAGTGGAAGCACAAGAAGTACAGGAAAGAAAGAAAAGTGAAGAACAACTTGACAAACCACTCCTTTGAACTCTAATGAACATCATAAAAGGTTACATGTTCCTGTCAATAATGACTTGGCACTGATACTTCACAAGTATCCAGTGGTGGAAGAGGTACTCAGATCCTTTTCTTAAGTAAAAGTGCCAATACTACACTGTCAAAATCCTACTTGAGTAAAAGTACAGAAGTATTATCAGCTAATGTACTAAAAGTATCAAAGTAAACATAGTGTTTCTGCAGTAAAATGTTGTCTGTGATTGATGTATTATTATTAGATAACACATTTAATACTGATGTATCAATGTGTCTGTAGCATGTTATTGCAAAAGATACTCAAGGTGGAGATTATTTAAACTACTTTTCTATACAGTCAGGAGGTTTAGTCCAGGGGTTTGTAACCTCTGAGTCAGGCCCCTCCAAAAGTTCACAAGAGAAATCTGTGGGGTCATGAGATGATTCATGGGAGAGGAAATCATCATCATATTTTTATGTTAAATCTTAATCTGAAAAGTAACTATAGCTGTTAAATAAATATAGTAGAGTAAAACATACAATAATTCCCTCTGAACTGTAGGGGTGTAGAAGTATAAAGTAGCATCAATTGCAAGTATGTCATAGTTCATGGGACTGACTGGACGTTAAAATTACAGTGAAAATAAGGCAACATTTACATTTATGTTCTTCCTGGCTGCAAGAGGACTGAATAATTCTGCTGCATGGCAAGTTTATTGTTGTTTTTTTTTTTTTTACATACTCAGCGTCTGTAAGGGTGCTACATCACTTCTTTGTGAATGGTATAAACTTACTGTAATAATTTTTTCCCTACATGGTGGACACACTGTATCCTCTCTTGGGCCTCATTTGAGCATCTCCCACAAAAAGTCCTCCAAAAATCTTATCAGTTCCTCAGCCGGGTCCTGAGGCACCCTTAACGTGTTAATCCCATCCCTCCATGAACATGCGGGCGCAGGGCCCTCACAGTCACCACCAATTACTGTCTGCAGGCAGCTGATGCAGGCCAGACTTCTCCGGGCTTAACTCAACGCCCAAACCTGGAGCCTCCTGAAGCCTCCTGAATCCCCCAAACCATCTCTGCCTGTCTGTCCACGCAGCTCAACCTGCTTTGTCTTTTTCATGTCTGTCTCTTTTTTAATGTCCAGAAACCTTTATGGCTTACAACAGGGACCGTAGTTCCTCAAATAAAGGGGAAAACTCTCCAGTGGTCTATCCATAGCATAGTTTATCTGCCAGGGTCAAGCAGGGATTTGGGTCAGTGGTTCAGGGAATGCACTTAGCCAAGGTGGCTGCTGTAGCTCTGTTAGCAGACTCAGGGTGTGGGTCAAGATGGCCGGTATCCACCCGTCCAGCAGTCTGGACGTTCAGCCGCCACTGGCCTTTAGGATATGCTCCCATGTGAGCTTGGATTTCAAAATAGTACCATGTGTCAAAGGGGAACTCGATAAGGCAGCACAGTCCGTGGTAGAGGTGTGTGAGAAGCTGAGGGAGGATCCATGGTGAAGATAGTAAGACATGATGGTGCAGTTATCAAGTTCCACATAACATCACAACTGATCAGGCATGTTTTCACATTGAAGCACATTCAAAAAATATATATTCAGGTCCAAGTTCCAGTAAATGTAAAATGACATTCAGAGCTGTAGACTTAAGACTTTGGCTACAAAAATGTAGCCAAAATCTGCCATGTGATCACTGCCATCTTGTGCTGGTGGATTAATTTGGAGCCAGACTCTGTGCAGAAGTAACTGGGGTTGGAGGTCCCATACACCGGACAGACTCAATTGGGAGCGGGGCTCAGCTGTCAATCA